GAAATAGCTGAAGCCAATCTAGATGGCCTTTTTGGCCTGCTGTGTAACAGTCCATCAGTTACATCTGTACTGTCCCTTACTTATTCTGGCTAGATCTGATTAGTCTATTACTGGTGACTGGTATTAGTTGCTTGATTGAGGTACAGATGGTCCCTGATTTATGATAGTTGGGCTTAGGACTTTTTTGACTATAGTGGTGCAAAAGCATTAAACATTCAGCAGAAACCATCCTTTGAACTTTGAATTTGAATTTCCTGGACTTGCAATATGTAGTATGATGTTCTTGTGATGCTAGGCAGCAAAAACAAGTCACAGCTCCTATTCAGCCTCTTGGACACAAGGGTAAATCACTGATACTGTACTCTGCAAGGAAATGTATTCAGTAAATTACAAGAGATGCTCAATATTTTATTATAAAATAGGCTTTGTGTTAGATGGTTTTGCTCAACTGTCAGCTGATGTGTCCTGAGCATATGTAAGGTAGGCTGGCTAAGTTATTATGTTTGGTAGATTAGGTATACTAAGTGCATTTTCTCATTCTCTCTTTTCGCGCCACCCCCACCCCCCCGCCTTTTTTTAAGAGATTTTTACTATAGGGTCGAGCACTTGCTGGAGAGACAGAAAGAGAAAGCGAGACATCACCCCTCGAGGGGAGATGGCCATGCCTTAGTCTCTTCTCCATTCTCCTCTTCGGAGTTTGGGCATGCATGCACATGCACCTGTCGTGAGTTTAAGCCACCAGGTCCGGGACTTAAACCATGATCGGCCATGTCAGAGTCCAGTGACGTAACCTTTGCGCTACCTGCTGGTCTCCTAAGTGCATTTTCCATTTACAGTAGGTTTACTCAGCTATACCCCATCATAAATAGAGGAGCATCTGTACTTTTCTACATGTGCTATCTTTAAAAAGTTGTAATTCTGCTATTTCAGAAAATAATATTTTTGAGATGTTTAGCCTGAATTTCTAAATTCTTGAGTAGTCATTAGTCTGAGGAAGCATCACCCACATTGACGGTTGGGAAGACTGTCCATCTCAGATATATTTGCCATTTTGTTGTCCTGGCATTTTCCCGCCAGGGAGCTTCTTTTTGTCTTGGAGAAGGGAAAAGATTGGGCTTAGTGTATCTTAGAGCAGTTTTTAAACACTGTTTTCCCACAAAACTTGTTTTGTTTTCTGTAGGTGCAGTTTCTTTGTTAGTGATATGGACCCATATTTATTCAGAATAGGGTGTAAATATTTCTTCTCAGGTTTTTGGGCCATGATTGTTAATAATTTATGGTAGTCTTTAGCTGTGCAGCCCTTTATGGTAGCCCCCAGCTACATGTGACTTTTTAAATGGAAATTAATTAAAATTTAAGAGTCAGTCATAATAGCCAAATTTCTGTGGCTTAGTAGCTACCGCATTGGACAGCACAGACAGAATATTGCCGTCATTGCAGAGTTCTTCTGTACAGCAGTGTCTGGAGTGCACGTTGAAAATCCCCAATCAAGAAATCTGAGCTCCAGTATACTCCAAACCTGAGACTTTCTGAAGCCAACGTGATGCTACAAGTACAAAAGTCCACCCATGATCTCATGTGATAGGTCATAATCAAAATGCTGCAATATGAAAATATTATATAAATTACATGTGTGTGTATGTGATATCTTTGAAACATATATGAATTCTGTGTTTAAACTTGGGTGTCATCCCGACATTTTTCAGGATGTATCTGCAGATACTCCTAAATTCAAAAAATCCAAAATTTGAAAGATTTCTGTTCCCAAGCATTTCCGATAAAGGATACTCAACCCATGTATGCAATTCAGTTTTGGTGGTCTAGGCCACACACATACACACACACACACACACACACACACACACACACACCGTTTCCTAAGTTAAAAGGTTTTGTGATTTCATAAAAACTGAGTAATTCAGTCTCACATTTACCTAGTAGGACATTAACTATGATACTGCTTTTCCTTTTTTTTTAAAAAAATTATTTTTCATTTAACTTTATTTATTCATTTATTTATTTTAATTTGACCAGAGGGTGTCAGAGTTTGAGCAGGAAGGAGGGAAGAAGGGGAGGAGAAAGAGAGAGAGAGAAAGCAAACCACCAGGCCTGAGACTCAAATTATGCTTGGCCATGTGGGAGTCCAGCACCTTTAATCACCACGCCACCTGCCAACCTGCTTTTCTTTTTTTTTTAAGGAAACATTTTTAGTTTTGTCTCCTTTATCATATTTCTGTTGACTTTTTGTTCTTGTTAGAACTGGCATCTATACAAAAATATATCTGCTTTGTTCCCTTTGTCTGATGGGGTGGAAAGCTGCTATTTTGTGGTCCTTTCGTTTTAGGAAGCAAGAGGCTACTATGAGCAGACTGGAGTGGGTCCACTGCCTGTTGTTCTGTTCAATGGAATGCCCTTTGAAAAGGAGCAGCTAGATCCTGATGAGTTGGAAACCATCACAATGCACAAAATCCTGGAGACTACAACCTTCTTCCAAAGAGCGGTGTACTTGGTGAGTGGCATTGTCAAGGCAGTATTGAAAGATAACAGTTTGCTTATGTTTTCGTAGCTTCTAGTAAGGCAATAAAATTCTTTTAAGTATCCCCGTTTATGTGATCCTGGCAATTGGTTTGCAGACTCCCAGTTCTATACAATGGAAATATTTATAAAACTTCTGTGCATTGTTTGAAATAGTTATTGATAATTTTATTTGTTTCAAGATTAAATGTTTATTTTAAAAAGTATAAGCAGTTCTAAGAACTGCTTGTTAGGAATTTTCACTTTGAAAAGCCTCATTTTTGTTTTTATATATATAAGTTATATATATTTATGTGTATATTATATATATTTTATATGTATTATATATACATATAAGCTATATATATTTATATATGTTATATCTCAAAACTATATTTATATATATATTTTTATATACATACATACACACACACACACACATATATATATATATATACACATATACATATATATATTTATAACTTACCAAACTTAAGGCATACAATTTGGTGGGGTATTTTTATCAGAGAAGTCATAACATTTTTTTCTATGCTTTTCTATGCAAAAATATGTCATGACTTTTCCAACAACCTGATGGTATATTCCAGTTGTGCAATTCTCCTCTAGTTGCAGAACATCATCATCACCCCAAAAGGAACTCAATAGTAGTAACTGTCCATTTTGCCCTCATCTTAGCCTCTGGCATCCATGAACTTATTGTCTCTTTGGTTTTGCCTGTTCTAGAGGTTTTGTATAAGTGGAATTTGTGGAGGTCAGGCCCTGAGACTGATACCATGCTGCTCAGAATCCTGACTCTAATCATGTGGTTGGTCTTTCCATTATGCACAGCCCCCGACCTGGCTTATCCTGTTAGCATAAACTATCTAAGGGTCCCCCACGAATAACAAAGATGGTTGTGCCACTGAATTAAGAGGTTACCTCCAGGAGCCAGGGACAAGGTCCAGCAATGTATTTATTACATACTATCTTTTTCTCTTTCTCCTCTCCTGAAGATATACATACTGATATTCTGTCATATCCCCCACAGGTCTCTTTTCTTTATGTTCCTAGACCGGATAATCTCAACTGATTTGTCTTTAAGTTTGCTGAATTCTTCTGTCGACTACAATCTGATATTGAGCCTCTCTAGTTAATATTTAATTTCTTTTTATATTTTTTAGCTCCAAATTTTTCATTTGAGTTTTGTCTTTCTTTTTTTCTCAAAAGAGGTATTTGCTATAGGGCATGTGCACTTGCCAGAGGGACAGAGACAGAAAGATACAAAGGGAGAAGTCACCCCCTAGGGTGGATAGCCATGCCTCTATCCCTTCTCCTGCAGTCTCCTCTTGGGATTTTGGGCATCCATGCATGCACACGCACCTGGTATGAATTTTAAACCACAGGGGCCGGGACTCAAACGTGGTCAACTTTGTGAGTCCAAATAACCATTATACCATCTTCTGGTCCCCCACTTGAGTCTTTTTCATAATTTTTCTTTATTGGTATTATCTATTTGGTGAGACACAGTTCTTAAACTTTATTTTAGTAGATGTAGTTTCTTTTAATCCTTAGGATATATTTAAAGTAACTTATTTAAATTCATATTCAAAAGGTCTGTGTTTGGGTTTTCTCAGGAGCAGTATATACTGTCTACTTCTTTTCCCGAGTGTGTGCCATAGTTTTTCTTTGCATGTCATAATTTTTTTTAATAACCGGACAGTTTATTTTTATTATTTTATGCCAGAGGGCTAGAAAGAGAGAGAAGAAAGAGAAAGAGAGGGAGGGAGGGAGGGAATGAGAGAGCGAGAACTCCCACATTTGGGCCTGATCATGCTACAGTCCTTTTTCCTCTAATTCTCTATCCCATCAGTATCCTGGGCAAGTGTGAATATGCCTGGCATGTATTTCAAGCCACTGGGGCCAGTCTGGAAACCCTGGTTGGCCACGTGAGATCTGGCTTCCACTGTGCAGTGCTTAACTGTTGTGCTGTGGAGCTGGCTTAGGCTCTCTCCTTTAGAAGAAAGCTGACTATAAATGGATCTCAGGATGGATCTCTGCTTATGTTAACAGTAAACTAATTTATAGAGTTTGCTTATTTATGGAAAATCACATTGGTGTATGGAGAGAAATAAACATAGGTTTACATTTAATCTTCATGTTAGCTTTGTGACTTTAAATTATTTAACCCTTGTCTTCCTCTCCTTTAATATGAATTTCTGTCAGGACCAGCAGATGGCTTAACGGTTACCGTTACTGAACTCCCATGTAGTTGACTGCGGTTCGCGTCTGGGACCTCGTGCGTTGAAACTCATGCTGGGTACATGTGCATACCTGCCCAAAAGCCCCAGAGGAGAATGAAGGAGAAGGGATTGCGGCATGGCCATTCCTCTGGGAATGATTTCTTCCTGTCTCTCTGTTTCTGTCTCTCCCGCAAGCACACACACCTTTAGCAAAACTCCTCCCCCCAAAAAAAATTATTTTCTGAGACATTTGCCTCACATTGTTGATAGAGTTAGATACTTTGTGAAAACACCTAACCTTGCCAGTGCTCTGCTTGACATGGGCTTGGATCTGTAACGTGGTGACTTCTGTCCTTAGTGTTATCCACAGATTAGAAGCTATTATGAAGTTAATAAGTTGTAAGTTTGTAATGGATTCTTATTAATCAGATTTGCTTAATTCCCCACCCCCTTTCTTTTTCTTCTAGGGTGAACTATCCCATGATCAAGATGTAGTGGAATATATCATGAATCAGCCAAATGTTGTTCCACGGATCAACTCTAGGATTTTGACAGCTGAGCGAGAGTACCTGGATTTAACCGCTAGTAGTAAGAGCATTGCAGGAACAATCTTGGACTTTTGTTGACTTGTGCTGTAGAATCTTTGCCTTTCTTGCCTTGTAGTATTCACAAGATGACCGAAGGCTCTGACACATTTTATGTTTAAACGCATTACACCTTGAGTTCATAATATGAGCTTTTAAATTCACAAGTTTCCTCCTAGAGAAGAGAAATGCTTCCAGGATAAAATCCTGTGGGTTTTTTTTTTTTTTTCCCTAAATTTATGCGTGTGTTTCGTGGTAAGAGGGACACTCCTAACAGGGTCTTCCCTCCGTAATCACCCCTTATCTCAACCAGCCAGGATCCAGGCATATGTACACCTGGTATGCACAGGGAGATCTCAGCTGTGAACTCAAGACTTTGTTTTTTGACCTCAGCATCACGTTTTGTTACAGCCACTGTGGCTGGTCTAAACCTTGTAACCTTGGAAAAACATTCACTGCCACTTAAATGCCAACTAAATAGGCACGAAATGATAACATAACCTATACTGTTGGCTTCCTTAGAGTCATGCAGTAATTAAGCAATTTTCTTCCTTATTCTTAAATCTAGTCAGCAATAATGCCAACTAATATGTCTGCTCATGTCACTCAGAACTTAAGAATGCTATTTTAAAAAATAGCCCATTCAATGAGATAAAATATAATTGCCATATTACTCAGTCTTTTTAAATGTGCAGTTCAGTGGTTTTTAGTATATTCTCAAAGTTGTGTCATCATTACCAAGGTCTAATGTTAGCATATTTTCATCACCCCAGAAAGAACCCACATACCCATTAGTAATCACTTCCCATTCCCCATCTGTCCCCTGGCAACTACTAGTCTGCTATGGATGTGCCTGTTCTGGACGTTTCATGTAATTGGAAGCCTTTTGTGCCTGGCCTCCTTCAGTCAGCATGTTTTTAAGTTTGTCCTTTGTGGGATATGCCAGATTTGTCATGGCTGATTCATCTTCCATCGTATGGGTAGTCCACATGTAATCTACTCCTCAACCGATGGACATTTGGGTGTTTTCCACAAGAAGGCCTTTGGAGAGCTCAATACGTTTAGCCCAGGTGCAGGTTGCTCTTTGTGCCTTCGATTGAGACACAGAAGGCCACTTCGGCAAGTGCTGGAGACAGACAGGTGGAACTGCTGTCCCTTGCTTGGGAAGGGAAGATAGTGGTGTGCTGGTATAGTCCTCCCTGACTGTGTTTGATGTGGTAGTCAAGTGTAATAAAAATACACATGTACTTGTGGCTGCTACTTTATGGCACCGGCTGGAATCTGTTGATACTTGAGACTGCATTTCTTTTGTTTTAGACAGAGAAAAATGCTCATATGTGTATTTATAAGCACAACCCTATACACACACTCCTACACATGCACATTTCCAGGAAAATGTAAAATATGCTTATATTTGAAAAAGAAACTATTCAGGAAGTGATGTAGGTTGCTTCTTCATAGCTAAGTTTTGACTTCTTCCCAGAAGTTTTAGTAGAGTGAGGTAAGCAGTATTACAACTTGTCCTAAGTTTTTGTTATTCCCATTATTTTAAAGTAAACTTGAAGGATTGTCTTGGGTGTGCGTGTGAATAAGGAGCAGGATAGCAGTTCTTTTGGATTTCCTTTCTTACCAAGTGTTGTATTGCTGAGCTATGAAATAGTGCTGGTCCATACTGGCAGAGATGCCGTCTGTCAGCTGAACCCAGGGTAGGTGTCTACAAGTAGGAGCTGCTTCTTTGGCCTTGAGACCTTTTGATCATGATGATGTTAATAAAAATAATAATGTTTTTTTTTAATGGTCGGGGTCTTGCTGTGACATGATCTTCCTGCTTCAGCCATCTAGCTGAGGCTACAGGCACACACTCCCATGCCCAGCTCTTTTTAGGCAGGGCCATGCTATGTTGCCCAGGCCAGCTTTGAGCTTGTGATCCTCCTGCCTCAGCCTTCTGAGTCTCTGGGATTGTAGGTACTGCACCTGGGCTCTAGATGGACAAGGAATCAAATCCAGGCCTCTGGGACTTTCTTTAGAAGGCTACTCATTTTGTAGGCCATGGTGCTCTGGCCTCTCTACATGACATCATGGAGCTTGTCTGACATAGTCACATTGCCTTTCTGAGTAGAATACTGACTGAGGTAGTAGGACTCAACCGTGCAGTTGATCGGAAGGATAAATGTATGAGCAGGTGCACGGAAGAATAGATGGCTTGGTGGGCAAGCAAGCTGTGCTGGGGGACCCGGTGAGGAGAGTGGCATTTCTCTTGGACTGTAAAAGTGGTTAAGATTGGAGAGGTTGCAGGAGACAGAGTTTATGATAATATGCTAGAGACCATTTTGTAGCCTGGGAAGAAAATTCTGGGTAGTTTAGAACAAGGGAATGCCTTGATGCAACTGGAATTTTTGAGTAATTTGAGGGGAAATGATTAATTATATCATTGTCCTAGACACTAAATAGAGAAGACACATACCTAAAATAGTAAAAGTGGTCTTTTTTTTCCCCACTCCATTAAGGTATAAAATATATTATTTTGTTAGATGTGAAAAGTAAAAATTAAACGTACGTATTTTTCCCTTTCACTCTCCCATCCTCTAAAATAAGGTAGCATAGAGCTTATTCTAGTGCATGAAGGAGGGAAGGGGGTGGTTAGGGAACCTCTGTCTGAAATAGCTGTCCAACTGTGAAGTGACAGGACTAAGAGCAGGATGAATTAAGTCACTACTCTGACACGTGCATATATGACCGCTGTGTGGGACATGTATGTTGTTTAGTAACCTCGCCTTAACAGTTTTTGTGGGATAGAAACTCTTCAGTAACCATGGAACTTAATATACTTACCCTTACATGTTTGTAATCTTATGGTCAAATCAGGTTATCAGTGAAATATCATCATTAGATTGAACTGAGACATATTAGTTATAAATCTGCTTTAATTTTTCTTTTCCCCCAGATAACTTTTATGTGGATGATTATGCTAGATTTACTGCCTTGGATTCCCAAGGCAAGACTGCTGCCATAGCCAACAGCATGAACTACCTGACAAAGAAAGGTAATCCTTGGAGGCAACATTTTTTTTTTTCCAGTATTAAAAAAAATTAATGTCTGGGGACCAGCAGTTAGCGTAATGGCTATGTTGCTGGACTCCCACGTAGTCGACCCCAGTTCGAGTCCCGGACCCGTGGTTTAAAACTCATGCCGGGCGCATGTGTGTGTGTGCCCAAGATCCCGAGAAGAGAATGGAGGAGAAGGAATTGTGGCATGGCCATCCCCCCGGGGGGTGATTTCTCGCTTTCTATCTCTCTGGCGAGCGCACGCACGCTATAGCAAAAACCTCAAAAAAAAAAAAAAAAAAAAAATCTGTTGGGGAGAGATTTCATACTTTATGTTAAAAATTCAAATATTGTCTTTATAAAATTTATGGTAGCAATTAAAGTCAAAGGGAAACTTCTTGGTTCAAATTGAAAAAATATTTATGATGTAAAAATAGGTTAATGCATTGAAAATTGGTGTGGCTTTCCTCTTCAGTGGCGGTGTAGGGTTAATTTTTTTTTAATAATTATTTTTTTAAATGAACTTTTATTTATTTAATTTATTTATTTAAATTTGACCAGAAAGGGACAGGGAGAGAGAGAAGTGAGAAGGCAAGCCGCCATGTCCAGGACTCGAACCACGGTCAGCCATGAGGGAGTCCAGTGCTCTTAACCACCACACCACCTGCTGACCCCAAGGGTTAATTTTATTTTAGAGTGTGTAGAATAAACTTAGCTCTAGAAAGCCTTTGCATACTTTTTTGAACTGATTTTTATGTAGTGTTATTTAGGTAAGCTAATACCATGTAAAATGAAGGTTTTTGATGGCAGACACATTATACTCTCTTTTTGTCACACTGATTACCCTTTTAAAAAAGCACTGGTTGTCAAGGCCAGCAGGTGGTATGGAGTTTAAAGCCCTGGATCCTACATGGCCAGCTGAGTGGTTCAAGTCCCAGACTCAGTGGCTTGGAGATCACACTGGGTACATGTGTGTGCCCAAAAGCCCAAGAGGAGACTAGACGAGAAGGGATTACAGCTTGGCCATCCCCCTGGGGAGTGGTTTCTCACTTTCCCTCGCATTCTCTGGTGAGCACACACACACTATAGCAAAAACTTTAAAGAAAAAGCACTGTTTGTCATTTAAAGCAGCTGTTTCTTATCCATCTCTTCCATGAGAGAGACACTCATGCAGAGACACAGAGATAGAGAAGCACCCTCAAAGGACTTCCACACCGTGATCCCCCTCTCCCCCCATTCTCAGCTGGCCTAGGTCATTGGCCCTAGAGTGCTTTATGGAGGACCTTTCCCATGTGGTTCCAGTTGTATTACTCCTAACCATTCCCTGCTCCTAAGGTAGCTATTTTTATTCCCACTGTTGTCCTCTCCCAGAGAGGATTTCTCGTTTCCCATATATGTAAGGACTGGCAGTTACTCCATTTGGTTCCTCAGACGTAATGAAACAGTGTTGTAACGCTGACAGCACTGAGGGGACAGAGGCCTGGATCGTGTTAGCTGTTGTTTAAACTTTGACTCTCACAGTAGGTGTTAATTATAGAAATGACATTTTCTTCTACTCTTTTTCCTTTACCTTTGTCCAGGAATGTCCTCCAAGGAAATCTATGGTAACTTACACCTTCAGAATATTGATTCCTTTTCCTGATAAATCTTATGTGGTTTCAGGGATCATTGTAATGAAGAGTATACTTTAAACATTAAGTTTCTGGAACCTGTGGGTAACAGTAGGCCATATCAATATAGATACATTTTGTATAACTGTTTGCAAAGGACTATATTTCAGAAAGTCATAATTATTTAATAAGATTAAGGACCCTAATATGCTACCCACATGTTCAGAGGCTTTCTTTGCCATTTTACCTACTAATAGCCGTCCAGAGCATAGTAGAATTAATCAATGCATGTTCCTAATTCATAATTAAACCATGTGGGAGGTTACTTGCTTTCATTTTAGTAGGAAGACTTCACTATTTTGCTTTGCATCTTTATTAAATATGATACTATACTTTGCATGGTTTTAAGAAACTATTAGGCCTAATAAGATTGTTGAAACACAGACTATACTTTTTTCCTCTAACTAAATTTGTTGTTTTGTTTTTCTACAGATGATTCTTTTATTAGGCCAGTCACTTTTTGGATTGTTGGGGATTTTGATATCCCTTCTGGACGGCAGTTATTGTATGACGCTATTAAACATCAGGCAAGTCTCTTGGATCTGAGTCTATATTTTCGTTTGAGACTGCATTTGGCTTTGGGATTGTCTCTGGTAGAGGTTGGGAGTCCTGCCTTCTTAGTGCTCGAGTGAAAGGAACATCGTTTCTTTGAAGACCTGATGGCTTGGAAACAAAGACATCAGGCCAGAGTATCTTGGCTTTATTTACTTATTTATTTATTTTTTAACTTAATTTTTTTGTTTTGACTGGTGAGGGACAGAGAGAGAGAGAAAGTGAGAAAGCAAGCCACCAGGTCTGGGACTCGAACCATGGTCAGCCTTGTGGGAATCCAGTGCCCCTAACCACCATACTGCCTGTCGGCCCCCAGTGCCTTGGCTTTATTGAAGGCTACAGATTTGTTTAGGATAAAAATACAATCCTCATCACAGACAAGTTTTTGTAGCATGACCATACACGATCCTGTTACAGAGATACTGCAACAGTCATGCTGTGTACAGCTGGGGAGAGGTGGGTCCCTCCATTCAGAGAGGTCTGATGTGGGGGCAGCATCACGCAAGCATGGCTCAGCGCACAGAGGAACACACAGAGATGCTCTGAAAAGGCGTGCTGCCCTGAATAGGAGGACTGGGTGAATGGTAGCAACAAGTGGCTGAGAAAAAAGTTGATTCTTCTAGAGAGTGTCATTGTCAGAGAATGGGAGATCAGCATTCTTTTTCTGAGCTGTTTGAATTTGTAGCTTCATCCAAACCTCAACCCACCTCTGTCCGTTTCTACGCTGTGCCTGGAAGCTTCCTGATGTAGCACGTGTCCAGGGGATTTCAGTCTCATTAACGTGCTGAGTGCCAGTATTGTCCAAAGAACCAACTAGATGCTGTGGTAATTTCAAAGTCCAACAGGAGGTATTCAGGTGAAGGGTGGTAGATGTGTGTATAAGGCATCTGACACAAACCAGTATGTGCTCAAATGGGAGACTAGGAAAGGAGAGTTTAACGGGTTTTTTTTTTTTTTTTTTTTTTTTGAGTGAGATTTTTGCTAGGGTCATATGTGCTTGCCAGAGAGACACAAAGAGAAAGAGGGACAGAAAGCAAGAAATCACCCGCCCCTGGGGGTCTGTCCACATCACAATCCCTTCTTCTCCATTCTCCTCTCGGGAACTTGGGCTTGCATGCACACGCGCCTAGCATGAATTTCAAGCCACCGGGTCCAGGATTCGAGCTGTGGTCGGCCATGTGGTAGTCCAGCACCTTAACCACTACACGATCTGCTAGCCCCGAGTTTTACTTTTAAGTAAGTGACTTAATTAAAGTAAAACAGGTCATAAGAAGTGCACAAGTCATAGAATGCATGTTGTCAAAGTGAACACCCACCATGACCCACCACCAGGCCAAGCAATAGAGAATATTGAATTCCCCAAAGCCCCCCTCAGCTTATGCCCCTCAGTCAATATTCACTGCCTCTGCCCTTTTCTCACATCATAGTCTGGACTTGTCTGATTTTTACTTTAAAGGAACCTTACAATATACATTCGTTTACATTTGTTTTTTTTCCCCTTTGGCTCAACATTTGTGACATCCGTGACATTTCAAGTAGTGGTGTTTTGTTCTGTTTCATTATGTAGTATTGTATCACATGGCAGGTGCTATAAAGTTTTGGTTAGTTGTTTAATCTGTTTGAGGCACAATGGAGTTGTTTTCAGTTTGTGATTATTATGAAGAATGCCTCTATGAATACTCCCATACATGCACAGCTTCTGATACATTTAAGTGTATGTTTTTGTTGTGTATATTCTTGATAGAAGCCACTTTTGGTTTTGTGGGTGCCAGTTATCTTATCCCAAGTGGATTTTTGTCTTCTTACACAGGGAAATAATCACTTTTACTAGGAATCTAGAAAGGCCATGTAAGTGAACTTGAGTTTGGACAGAGCCTTGAAAAATAGTTGTAACTTAAGGATATCAGGAATGTTAATAGAATGTGGTGGCATTTGCATGCGATCTTGAGGCATGACATGTGTTAGAAGAATATAATGTATTGGAGGGAACTAGTAGTTAGTGTAATGGCTATGTCGCTGGACTCCCACGTAGTTGACCACCGTTCGCGTCCTGGACTTGGTGGCTTAAAACTCACGCCGGGCGCGTGTGCATGCATTCCCAAGATCCCGAGAGGAGAATGGAAGAGAAGGGATTGCGGCGTGAACATCCCCCCAGAGGGTGATTTCTCACTTTCTGTCTCTCTGTCTCTCTCTGTCTGGCGAGTGTACGCGCCCTATAGTGAAAACCTCTCCCCCCCCCCCCAAAAAAAAAAGAATATAATGTGTTGGGGAAAGATGGGCCTCTCATAGTCTCTCATAGTAATGCTTGCTGTACTTACAGGGGTGGTAAGGGAAGAAGTCAGAAAGGTATTGAGGCCAGTTCCTATAGAGTTTAAATGTCTGATTATAGTATTTGAATTTTATTCTGAATACGGAAGAGAAGTACTGAAGACTCTAACAGAGGTATTACTTGCTACTTATGGAACATAACTGATTTTTAATGCTGTTTTTTACCACGTAACTCTGATTTCCCATTTTGTAAATAGAAATCCAGTAACAATGTCAGAATAAGCATGGTCAATAATCCTAGTGTGGAGATAAGTTACGAGAACACGAAGATCTCCAGAGCAATCTGGGCAGCTCTCCAGACACAGACCTCCAACTCAGCCAAGAACTTCGTCACCAAGATGGTCAAGGAGGAGACCGCAGAGGCCCTGGCCGCAGGAGCTGACATTGGGGAGTTCTCCGTCGGGGTAAGGCTCCACATGTTTCACGAGGCTGCCCCACTCTGTTATTTACCATAGGAGTTTATTCCCTCAGCCTGTTATGTCCTGTTCATGGTCAGGATTTGTGGACTTACTTTTGAGTCTCAGAGAATGTTTTTTCTCTTTTTAACTTGGAGGACTCATTCCAAGAAATAATTCCGTCACATTCTCTATATTACTCTTAACTTGCCTAGGTTTCAAGATGGGCATGGTATAAATTTATGTATGTTTTCATTACAAAGCCACTTTTTCTGGCCAGTTTTTTGAAGACAGATGGTATTTAATTTGTTTATACAGTAAAAAACCAGATTTGAGCCACCTACAAATTAGAGTCTTCCAAGTCCCTGATGTGTTTCTAGTATAAGCCAGTGTTTGTTCATTTATACATTACTCCTCAACAATGTGTCATAGTTTTTAAATCTTGTATAAAATGGTAAGTGTACTTGAAGTTTCAGTTGGGAGAAAAGGCTGTCACTTGAAATAAGCAAGATTTCAAAGTGCAAAATAAAGGCATCATGAAGTCTGTCAGTCAAACAGATCCCTGAAAACATAGGACAAGGCGTACATAGTTAATTAACATAAAGTGGGGCTGGAGTGAGAGGGAGACTGGAGCACGGAGGCACGATGTTAATTGTGAAAATTAGTTATTGCTTTCCACTGAAAGAGCATTCTTTGTTTTTTTTTTTTTCATTGTGGTTATTCATTTATGTGGTTGGCTTAATAACAGTTTTTCCTTAATAATGATTACTTTCCTAGGGCATGGATTTCAATCTTTTTAAAGAGGTCTTTGAGTCTTCCAAAATGGATTTCGTTTTGTCTCATGCCGTGTACTGCAGGGATGTTCTGAAGCTGAAGAAGGGACAGAGGGCAGTGATCAGCAATGGAAGGGTGAGGACTTGCCAGTCTGAGACAGGCTTGGCTTCCCATTAGATGCGAGAACAATCTTTGCAGCATTCTCCTCTGAAGCTAGTAAACTCTTCAAACAGAGCCACTCTTTTTTCAAAGGTGATTAGGGCTTTACCAAGTGTTGATGATATTTCTGCCCCCTCACTTCCAAGGAAGGTCGTTTTTTAATACAACTGTCCTGGGATGTAACCTTGCGTGGTTTGTGTGTGTCCTGCTGTTGTGGGAGATGGTAAGAGTGTGGTGGCTCTCAAAGTATCCGTCATTACAGCCTTTGACCCATAAATAGGCTTTGTTGTTTATATTATTGAGAATTAATGCAAGCTATGTTGCATTTATTATTTTTTTATTTATAATTGCTGGAGGGCATGTGTACTTGTCCGAGAGATGGAGAGAGAAAGCACCTTCAGTGGGGCATGTTCACGCCTCAGTCCCTTCTCCTCAATTTCTCCATCCTGTTGGGATTTTGGGCATGCACATAGAGATGCCTGACATGTTTTTCATGCCACTCGGGCTAGAATCCAAGTCTAGTTGACCATGTAGGGTCTATTTTCCTTAACCACCAGGTTATGGGGTCCTTCATACTTTAAAGTTTGCTTACTGTAAGAATAATGTAAAGAATTGATAAGTAAACAAATAACCACCAGGTTATGGGGTCCTTCGTACTTTAAAGTTTGCTTACTGTAAGAATAATGTAAAGAATTGATAAGTAAACAAATAAGTGTTGATTTGGGCTTTATTTTTTGTTCTCACCTACGGTTTGGTATCAACAGAGAGCTCATTTACAGCTTGTGATGCTGCTGGCCCTATAGTGCTGACCACTATTCTTTTCTTTTCACAGATCATTGGGCCATTGGGGGAGAATGAGCTCTTTAATCAAGACGATTTCCACCTTCTAGAAAATATCATCTTAAAAACCTCAGGACAGAAAATAAAATCTCATATTCAACAGCTTCGGGTTGAAGAAGATGTGTAAGTTTTGCCATGGAAGAAATTAGATCATGCCATAGGGATTTTATTTTTATTTTTTTAAAGAATTATTTTATCCAACTTTATTTATTATTATTATTATTTTCCAGTTTGATCAGAGAGAGACAAAGAGAGAGGGAAAGTGAAAAAGGGAGCCACCATATTCAGGACTTGAACAGTGGTCAGACAAGTGCAAGTCCAGCGTCTTTAACCACCTACTGGCACCCCCATAGGGTTTTTATTAATTGGAATTTCCTCAGTGGCCAAAGTTAGGATTGTATATTGTCACATATGCTGTCTACTCCAAGATGTTTTACTTTCAAGCTCTAAAATATAATAATGCTCTGTAAATGTCAAATTATACTTGGGTTGAAACAAGCTAATTTATTTTATAGGCTGCTATTTAAAGCACTGAATTAGTTCTTGGTTATTTTAATTTTGTTTAATTCTTGATTCTGGAAAATTTCAGACATATGCAGAAGTAGAGGGACTGGAGGTTTATTTATTATCTGCGATACTTAATGTAAAGAGATGCTTTCCTTTAGTTTCATTTTGTTCATCATGTTCATAAATGAAATGTTTCGTTCTCTACTTACCAGTATAGAATCATAATGGAATTGGTTTGCTTGCATCCCCCAAAGGAGATGATGAGTTAGTTATTGTTTTTGTTGTTTGTTTTAAGTTTTGGTTCTTTGTTTTATTATCAGCTATGTGTTTCAGTGTGTTCTTTCTCATAGCTTGCATGGGCCATATACCTGGAGTGCACCTGAGGCCAGAGTTGTCTGGATCTACTTCCTGCATTAAATAGCAAATGAATGTGTAGGTTTAGGATGTATTCTTGTCTAGTTTTTTGAAGAACTGCTATACTTTTTCCACAGTGGCTGTACCATTTTACATTCCTGCCAGTGGGCAAGCAATTTCTTCAGTTCCTTGTTATTTTCCATGTATTCATTTATTTATTTTTTTGGAGAGGTTTTTGCTATAGGGCGCATGCGCTCGCCAGACAGACAGAAAGAGACAGAGACAGAAAGCGAGAAATTACCCCCCAGGGGGGATGGCCACGCCTCAATCCCTTCTCCATTTTCCTCTTGGGATCTTGGGCACGCACACACATGCGCCCAGCGTGAGTTTAAGCCCCCGGGTCCGGGACTCGAATTGCGGTCGACTACATGGGAGTCCAGCAACATAGCCATTACGCTAACTGCTAGTCCCTTATTTTCCATATATTTTATAACAGCCATTCTTGGTATGAAGTGGCACAAGGAACTTCAAAAGTTCATGAAAAGTGGAATAAAAGTATGTATTTATTTTGGTGCAAAAATTTTTTTTGAGATCCAAGCATAGTTTTTTATAATATGTATTAGGTATTGAGAAAAGCTGTGACATATTTTTCTTTTTCTATGCATATGTGCGTCATGATTTTCCTGATGACCCATTATTTTTCCTGATCTTTTTGAAGACTTTAATTTCTCCTTGTAGTTTGGTTGATATATCCCTAATGATTAGTGATGTTGAGCATTTCTTTCATCATGTGACCATTTATTATCTTCATGAAAATGTCTATTCAAGTCCTTTGCCCATTTTTATTTGGGTTGTTTGTTTTTGTTGCCGAGTTGTAAGAATTCTTTGTATATTCTGGATATTGATTCTTTATCAGATATATGATCTGCAAATTTTTTTTTCCCATTCCATGGAGAAATGTACTTTGACGCATAGTTGGAATATATAAAACCTAAAAGTTTTCCTGTTTTTTTTTTTTTCCCTTTGTCTTTTTTATACACCATCATGCTAGAGAGTTTAAGGTATTTGTTTTAGTGAAGTGTTATCTTTGATAAGCTGCCAAAGTATTCCCTTTGCTGAGTCCTGTGCAACCTGGAAAGAAATTGTTTTCCTCTTAGCTAACACTGGGACTGCAGGTAGAAAGAGGTTCCCTCCTACCTCAGTAGCTCTTGAGTGATACCTACGAATGCTTCTCTGAGCCAGGCCAGAAGGTACTTTGTGACTTGAAATAGACATGTCACAGTTACACATCAAGCGTGGCATGCCCTGGACCACTCCCTCTTTCCATCTAGTCTTTGCAGAATGTAGAAATGCCAGACACTGCCTCCTAGACTTGCCTTTTGCCAGCCAGAGATGGCTCTGGGTCTGTTGTGGGTGAATTTAGGGAAATAAGGTAGTTATGGGGCTGCTGAAGATCAGTGCTATTAGTGTTAGGCTTCTCAGAATCATCTTGCCTGCCTAAAAATTTATTAGTACCAGAGCTGCTCTGCTGTGGAGTCTCCTTTGTTTCAGCCACAACTTAATTCATGACCCATTCCTGCAGCCACAAGGCTGTCCTCAGTGTCTTGAAGGTTGCTCGTGTTCTTGATCTGGTGTTTCATGAGCCATAGGGAGTTTCCTGTTGCCCTGTTCACTCTAGTCCATAGGCTCACATGTCCTTTGGCATGCTTTGTGACCATTTTGACACATCACAGAGTGTGTGATGCCTGTATTATGTGTATTTGAATCTAGTATTGAGAATTGAACCAAAAGAGATAATTTAATAACATAGTTGACTCTTGAACAACATGGGGGTTGAGGTGTTGACCACTTTCCTGTCCCCTATCTTGGCATAGTCAAAAATTTGTGTATAACTTTTTAACTCCCCTCAGGGAATATAATAATAATGACAGCCTGTAATGGGCCAAGCCCTGAGCTAGTTGCTTGATACATTTTGCCAGAACAATACTTATTAGAGCCATGCAGAGTTTTAATTTCACATATGGGAAAATGAGTAACTCCCTGAAGTTTGTATAGCTAGTCACTATAAAATCACCCTTTCTCATGCCTATCAGGACATAGTTCATGCTTTTCTCAAACCATCGTGCTGGGATTCAGTATTTGGGGTGATAATGTTTGATGATGGTTGTAAAACCTTTAGTTAAAGAGAACTTCCTACCTTCGTCTTACAGGGCAAGTGACCTGGTAATGAAGGTGGATGCTCTCCTATCGGCTCAACCAAAAGGAGATGCAAGAATCGAATACCAATTCTTTGAAGACAGACACAGGTACAGAATTAATGTTCAATTTATACACGTTCTTGATGATTAAATGCTTCTGCCTTTATTTTTTTATATAAGTTTTGTATATAAGTTCTTATAGGAATGGAAAATTTGTTTTGGCATGTAGTGTGTGTGTGTGTGTGTGTGTGTGTGTGTGTATGTATGTGTGTGTATGTACGTATTTCTATTTGTATATAAAAAGCCATATACAGATCTCAGTTGTTTAAAAGTTGACATTGCTTCATACTTGCTAGGTGTAGGGTTTTCTCTAAAAATAATCAGACTTAAATCTGAAATGATTCCCAATGCATCCATTTAGTTTAAAACAGACAGTAATTAATAAAACACACCATTTGTAATGTTCTTAGATTCACAAATAACAGATTGTTAAAGTACTTGTCTCACCTAATTGCTATATTTTCAATAAAACAAAAATAAGTTTAGCACTATGAGGAAATTCTTTCCTTTTTATTCTCCAGCTTTTTATTTTTAAAAGTTTCTGGGACCAGCAATTAGCATAATAGCTGTCGCTGGACTCCCATGTAGTCAACCGTGGTTTGAATCCTGGACCTGGTGGCTTAAACTCACGCCGGGGGCATGTGTGTGCGTGCCCACAATCCCAAGAGTAGAACGGAGGAGAAGGGATTGTGGCATGGCCATCCCCCCCTGGGGGGTGATTTCTCACTTTCTATCTCTCTGTCTCTCTCTGTCTGGCTGGCTGGCGAGCGCATACGCCCTATAGCAAAAACCTCTCCAAAAAAAGAAAGAAAAATAAAGTTTCACGCCTAGAAATAGTTGAAAGACTATTATGATGAACATCCAAAACTTTTTTGTTGTTGTTGTTGGAGAGATTTTCACTATAGGGCGCGTGCGCTCTCCAGACAGACAGAGAGGGACATAGAGACAGAAAGCGAGAAATCACCCCCCAGGGGGGATGGTCACGCCGCAATCCCTTCTCCTCCATTCTCCTCTCGGGATCTTGGGCACGCACGCACACGTGCCCGGCGTGAGTTTTAAGCCGCAGTCGACTATGTGGGAGTCCAGCGGCATAGCCATTACGCCAACTGCTAGTCCCAACATCCAAAACAATTTTAGCTGAGATCCACCAGTCATTAGCATGCCATATTTGCTTTGTCCCTGTCGTCTGTGTACGTGTGTATAGTCCATGTAATGTTTGGTTATATGTGTCACATACATGTGCACACTCTCATTTTTTGGTTTCCATTTGAAAGTTCGTTGCAGACATCATGACATAGTATACCTAATGCTTCCAGCGTATGTCTCCTGAGTACTAGGACGGTCTCCACAATGGCCCAGCAATGACCTTTTACAGTTGTCTCTTGTGTTTGTTTTGGTCCAGATCATACCTTATTGTGCCTTCTTCCTAATAGTTTCTTTTAACCCAGAAGAGTTCCCTGCCTTTTTGTTGCTGGTGGTGGTCTTTTGTCTTTTTTTGTTTTATGGAATGACCCACTGTCTGAATTCTCTCCTTGTGATTAGACTTATTTTTAGGGAAAACTATACTTGGCAAGTGTAAGATGAGACTGCAAAAAGTTCATGGAAATTGGAATTAAAGTATGAGTTTATTTTGGTGGAAAACAATTTAGAAATCCATTCATAATTTTTTATAACAAACATTTTCCATGACCTTTTGGAGATACCATGTCTATCTTGATTGTGCCTCAGGGAGACCTTAAATATAGATGCCTGTGACTCCATGATTCTGACCTGACTAGTCTGGGTGAATTGGACTTTGGTTTGGTAAACCTGTGCTTTCTCTCAGCCAGTGTCTTGGAGAGCAGATTTGCATGGTCAGATTGTTTGATGCTGGCGTGCTGGAGTGGATACCCTCTGTTTGCACTGGCTCTGTCTCCTAATTTCTTAGGTCGCCAGTGGGTGGAGACTTCTTTGGCTCTGGCAACCCTCATTGAATTTTGCCCTTAGTACCCAGATTACTCCCGTCTTATCAGGGCTCTGTGTGCTTTCAGGAAATAACTCATTACCTAGTTATGAATGCAAGAAACATTCCTAACTGACCTGCCATCTTGTTTGTTTTCTGTGGCCAAGATAATGAGTTCTGAGCAAAGACCTTTCCACTTTAGAGATAGTCTATTTCTTCATGAGTCCCCATGAGTTTATATAATTAAAATGTCCTAGGCCAGTCCTGTGGCCTCATGGTTATGGGAGCCCCATCCCACATGGCTGACTATGATTTGAATCCCAGCCCCAGGGCTTGCAAAACATATTGGCTGCCTGTGTGCATGCCCCAAATCTCAACAGGATGGAGAAATGTTCTGATGTTGTTTTATTATTTTTAAAAATATATACATATATATTTTTTAATCTTTAAATTATTTATTTATTTTTTTATTTATTTTTTACCAGAAGGCATGAGTGCTTGCAGAGAAAGAGAGAGTGGGAGAAAGCAACCCCCAGTGGGGTGTAGTCATGCCAAAATCTCTTCTCCTTCTCTGCACACTATTGGAATTTTGGGCACGCACACATGTGCTGGGACCAGAATTTGAATCATGAGTTTGACTGTGTGGGATCCATCTTTCTCCTTTAACCAGTAGGCCACAGGGCTGGACCCCCTTTATATTATTTTTTAGAAAGTTATTTATTCTTTGTCTTCTCAGATCCTTGTTACCAAGAAGTAACAAGGGTAATTGGCATAATGTTCAATAATTGTCAGAAGCTAACATCAGTAACTTTTTGTATTTTTTTTGTTAAATATAATTTCATGCAGACTGTCAT